AAGAAAGAAAGAAAGAAAGAAAGAAAGAAAGAAAGAAAGAAAGAAAGAAAGAAAGAAAGAAAGAAAGACCGGAAATTCAGTAAGTACTTTCAAGTGGTATGTATGAGTCACATACCAAATTAGCAATAACTTAATTGTTAATAGTGAGATTTAAATTACATGTTAGACTGGGGATACAGCTCAGGTGGTAAAGTATTTTCTCTATACACATTAGGACCTGGATTTTATCACTAGCACTACAAAAAAAGAAAGAAAAAAGAGAGGGGGAAAAAAGGTTATATATCCAAGTTAAAATAGTGTAACTAGTAGTGGAGAACCTGTATTTAAGAAGAAATTATTGATGTCATGTCCATCTTTTGTCTGTATTCCAAAGAGTAGTAGAACAAGTTTGGAAAAATACATTTAACATTTCTGAAATATGAGGCAAATCCTTGAAAAAGAAAGTCAAGTTTAAGATGTTTGCAAAATATCTATTTAAAAGTTTTTGTAGAAATTGGTGATGGAGCTTCATACATATTCTGTAAAAATAAAAGCAAATAAAAAACCACATGTGATACATGGTGGTGAACACCTGTAATTCTAGTACTTGGAAGGCAAAGGGAAATGAATCTCTGTAAGCCTGAAGAGCAACAGATCTCTGAAGCAATTTTCAAGCTAGCCAGTATTACATAAAGACCCTGTCTAGATAGATAGGGATGGAGAGAGAGAGATAGGGAGAGGGGGAGAGAGAGAGAGATGGATGGTCAGAAATTATCTACTAAATTGTAAAAAACTGCTTTTTTAAAAATAATTCTTATTTGGTACACACCTGTAATCCCAGCACTCAAGGAGGCAGAGGCATACAGATTGCTGTGAGTTTGAGGCTAGCCTGGTCTACAATGCAAGTCCAGGACAGCCAAGGCTACACAAAGAAACCCTGTCTTGAAAAACAAACAAACAAACAATCTTATTTTTATTTTATGTATATGAGCGTCTTGCCTGTATTTATGTCTGTGTACCGCACACACGCCTGATAACAACAAAGGTCAGAATGCTTGCCTAGCATGTATAAAACCCTGGGTTCAATCCTCAACACTGCATAAACTAGGCATGGTGACACACAGGAATTTATGATCCCAGAACTTGGGAAGTAGAAGCAGGAGGGTCATAGGCACATAGTAAATATTAATAAGACAGCCTGGACTACTCCAGATCCTGACTCGAAGAGGGGGAAAAAAAAAAAAAGAACTGAAGACGTGGAGCTGGAGAGATGGCTCAGTGGTTAAGAGAACTGCTATTCTAGAAGATACAGGTTGAATTCCCAGCACCCACATGGCAGCTCACAGCTCTCTGTAGTTCCAGTTCCAAGGGAATCCAAGGCCTTCTTCTGATCTCCATGGGCACCAGCCATGCACATGGTACTCAGACATGCATGAAGGCAAAACATGCATAAAATAATTTTAAAAAATATAACTAAGGAAATTTTCGAAATATTCACTTAGATTTTATATAAAATTTAAATATAAAAAATATTAAATTCACTAAGAAATAATCCTTATTGGTTGGTAAAGAAGTTTTAACTTCTAACTAAGAGCTGGCAAAATGGTTCAGGAGGCTGTCACCTGATCTGATAACTTAAGGCTAATCCCACATGGTAGAAGCAGAGCACCTACTCCCACAAGTTGTCCTCTGACCTTCACATCAGTATTACTATGGCACATGAGTATCCCACACAGCCCACAAATGAATAATAAGTGTAATTTTAAAAATTTAAGTTCAACATTAAAATTTCTTGCTAGGCAGTGGTGGTATACACCTTTAATCTGAGCACTTAGGAGGCAAAGGCAGGAGGATCTCTGGGTTTGAAACCAGCCTGGTCTACAGAACTAATTCTAGGACAGCCAAGGCTACACAAAGAAATCTTGTCTCAGAAAAAAAAAAAAACAAAAAAAAACCAAAGCACCCCGCCTCTTGCCTGGATTAGCACCTGGAAGAACAGGCCCTGCACCTCCATAGGGCAGCACAGTAGAGTTGGCCTATTGTCATGGGGACAGGTAAGCTGGCCCTGAAGGCATGAGAGTGGGTGAGCTGGCTCTGCCCCTTGCCTGCAGCACTGGATGAGCTAGGCAGGGCAGTGCTGGAGTGCCAGCCCTGGTGGGGGGTAGAAGAACTGGTGGACCTACCAGCTCAAATACCACCCAGGCCCAGATCCAGGGCTTTAAGTTGACCACCCCAACATCTACTCCATCTATGAACTGCTGGAGCGTGTAAATGAGCCAGTAGGACAGATCCAAAGCTGCAGGATCTTCGTGATACAGAGCAGTAAGAGGATATCCAAGTGCAGTTCCAGTGAGGATCCAGTACCAATGAGTGTAGCAGAGGCCTCAAAATAGACCAATGGCTCATTGCAGTGAACATTTGCAAACAAAGAGTGGACAAAAGAGTATACTGTAGGACACTATGTCACACGACAGCTTCCACAATAAGACTTTTTTCCTTTTGGGGAAAAGGAAGTTTCCAGGAGGGAGGATGCACATGAAAAGTCAGGGATATGAGTGATTTTGAGGTGCAGGAAGTTAAAATTCCCAAAAAAATCAATAAAAAATTAAAAAATTCTTCATGATTTGAAGGGAAAAATTACCATTAATAAACATCAAACTACATACCGTTGAAATCTTTCTTGCTGCTCTCTTTGTTTTCGAATTTCCGGAAACTGCTTCTCATAGTATTCCCTTGTTTTGCTTTCTTTTGCTTTCCTCCGGGGATTATTTTCTATTCTGTCCACTTTTTTCTCCCATGCCTCCATGAGCTGATCATAACGCTGGCAGATTTTTTGTTCCTATTAAATATCCGTAGCAAATTAATAACAATTAAACTGAACTCTATGATTTGGTAAGCCTAATCCTTTCAAATACATTCCATTTCTTAAGATAAAAACAGAAGTACATTTGGCTTGTATGACTTAGCTATGAATGACAATTTGTTCCTGGTCTGACAGGAGAAATGGAGCCATTTCCTTAGATGAACACGCAGAGTATACTTTCCCTGGAGAGTTTACTAACCATTAATACTGTTAACAAACTCATTGACAAACACTATTTTTATTTTCCTGACAACATACCTTCCTGTCAGAAAGAAGGAAAATCATAAACATTCACATAGTTCATCATGTAATCCAGTGGTTCCCAACATCCCTAAGGCTGTGACCCTTTAATATATAATCATGTTGTAATGACCAGGCATAAAATTATTTTTGTTGCTGCTTCATAATTGTAATTTTACTACTGTTATGAATGGTAATGTAAATATCTGTGTTTCCCTAATAGCTTAGGCAAGCCCTGTTTTGAAAGGGGTTGTTTGACTCTAAATGGGGCGCAACTCACAAGTTGAGAACCACTGCTTTAATCAATCTTAAAGGCAAATATTGGCATTATTTCAGTACCTATCCAAATTGTCAGAGAAAACATGCTCAGTTTCTCTTTCATTAGAGGTTCTGGTTTTCCTCCTTTGTTGCTGTTGTTAACTAGTATAAATATTTTTTGATAACACAGAAAGGGTTGAAATTAGTTATTCATCACCATAAAAAGAAATCTGGTGAAAACATGAAATAAAAAATTAACTTTGGTTAAATACTTATATGATTCCATTTTCTATTAAATAAAAGGTAGAAGAATTCTCCGTTATGGCCATAAAACCATGCGAGTATATGATTCTGGAGAAAGTAAAGTGAGAAGGGCCTCAGGGACACTGCTAACATTAGTCACCTTAAGAGAGACTGAATAGGAGAATATTTCTTCTTCATACCATTCCTTCCAACACTGATTTGCCTTTTGTGCACTTAACATTTTTTTTTTCTCTAATCCCATCACCTTACGTTGAGTCTACATCATCATTACCCAGAGTGAAACAATCATCTAGTAAATGTGGTCCACATCATTTCTGTTGCTTTCCAACGCAAAGGAGATAGAAGCCAGGGCCTGGCTCATGCTAGGAAGTGTTCATATATTCCTAAGCATTCTCACTGTTGTAAACAGATGCAAATCTCCCCTTGCCACACACACTCCCCCACTCCTCACCCCTAACCCGCCAAGACAGGGTTTCTCTGTGTAGCTTTGGCTGTCCTGGACTCTGTAGACCAGGCTGACCCCAAACTCACAGAGATCCGCCTGCCTCTGCCTCCCAGAGTGCTAGGATTACAGGTATGTAGCACCTCACCTAGCTAATAGCTTAAGATTTTTTTTTTTTAATGTGTTTCATGTATGTGAGTGTTCTGTCTTCATGAAAACTATAACAGGGCATCAGATTGGTTGTGAACCAACATGTGGCTGCTGGTAACTGAACTCAGGACCTCTGGAAGAGCAGCCAGTGCTCTTAGCTGCTGAGCCATCTCTCCAGCCCACAAACTCTTTTGTTGTTGTTTGACACAGGGCTTCCTCAAGATGGCCTCAAACCCACTAGGTACTGAGCATGACTTCTGATCTCCCTGCTTCAACCTATTGAGTAGGGATTATATGCACATGATCCCATACTGTTTATTTGATACTAGGGATCCAACCCAAGGCTTCATTCATGTTAGGCCAGCACTCTACCACTGAGTTACAGTAGGAACCCCAGACGTAAATTCTTAAAATACAAACCTGAACTCCACACCTCTGCAGTTTAAAAACATAAGAAATGCCCTTAGAATCTCATACAAAATCTTGTAGGTGAGCTCAGGACAGTGTGCCACTGAATCCTCTTTAAGGATCCTCACTTCCCAGCTCAATGACTCAAAACTCAGCAGGCTCTAAACCTGTCACATTAGCTATGTCACATAATCCGCTTCCTCTGCTTCTATACGTCTGCAGTATATTGGCTTTCCTGTTTGGTGGCCCTTCCTGATTCCTATCTTCTTTAGGTATCCCATGTTATACTCCTGCTGTATGCATGAGAGCACACTATGATCATGATCCCGAACCTGCCTAGCTGTTCCCAAAGAGCAAAATGATATGGCTATCTTACTTGCTTTTCTGGAATATTAAATGGAACCATCCACAACTCATAAATATGTATTAAACAAATCAGTAAACATGAACTTTAATTATTCCAAAGTATGAAAAAGTTTATGTACCAATGATTACATTGCCAAGTGTCACAATTACAATAATGTGAATAAATGTGAATATGGTTTCTCAATATTTATATGTTCTTGGGAAGAAAAAATATTCAACACCAGTTATTTAAGATAGTCTCTAAAGCTGAGCAGTGGTGGTGCACAGCTTTGATCCCAGCACTCGGGAGGCAGAAGCAGGCAGATCTCTGTGAGCTCAAGGCCAGCTTGGTCTATAGAGTTCCAGGACAGTCAAGGCTACACAGAGAAATATGATCTCAAAAAAGAAAAATAAAAGTATCTAAAAAGTAAAATTGGAAAATATAAACTACAGAGGTTTTACACTGAATAAAAGCTGCTTGCTGCCTCTTGAGCTTTACAATTCGTTAACTTGTCAGATAATTAACTATACAGTAAAGTTCATTTCTAACACAGGTTCAAAGAACTTCATTTTATTTAAAAATCTGAATTTAAACTGTCTGTAAAATTAGTATTAACATGTTATAAAAATAACACTACTTTGTGAAACTTAAATTTTATGATTATAAGCGTAAAACTTTTAGTAGCAAACTATATAACTAAATGAGAAACTATTCCAATTTGAAGACACTGACCACTGTCATGACCATGACTTACCAGCACTTGTTTGAGCCCTAACAGACTGAAAGCACATCATCCTACTTGTCCTTTTTTTTTTCTTTTATTGGACTACTCACCATTTTGCTGAATGAAAATATTACATAGATAACTAATGAAATTATTTTGATAATGATGTTAAATGTGGTATGTTATTAGGATTAGACTGATTTAAGTCACACATACAGGTACTTTCTAAATCAGCATTTATTTTCAATATAATGAAGGATCAATCATTAATGGGAGAGTGAATGCTTAAATGACACGAATGGGAAAGCTGTATAAATTTCAGTTAACAAGGATAGGACCTCACCCTTTGTTTTCTTGCATGATTTCTTCTTTTAAAAAATAAAATGAGTTTTTTCCTCATCACCTGGTTTCTAGAAGAGAAAAATATGGTTGCAGAACATTAAGAAAAAGCACAACTTAATGGTGTGTACACTTTCTCCAGACATTGGAGACAGGCAAACCATTTAAGAACTTATGGTTCAATCAGAGTTAATCTTAATTTTTATTTCACCCTGCAAAATAAAACTGTAATTTTTTTCAACTAGGACTAAAATTTCTGCCATTCTATAACAAGATAATACAGTTAATTTTTTAATTCATTCATCTAATTTTAAGACAAATAATTTTCAAATTATAATTAAGGAGTAACTAATTCTTAAGAATTCTGATGATATAAGCAGTTTAAACTGTTTATACTTCAAAAAAGGGAAGTAAAAGGAAAAAGAAACCTTTGGCAGGTACTTCCCTCCTATAAGGAGAATGTACACCAACATATTTAGAAAGAGGTGACTTTTGCTCAAAACAGAAGATTTCTCTCCCACACTCTATGGAGCAACAAAGGGCAATCTGACAAGACAGAAAAATTTCTCACGTCTTAATGTAAGCATCACGTTTTAAATTGGAAGCACTGTGATCTTCTAAAACAATGTCATGCAGGTTTAAATATATAAATATTTATAACACACCTACTTCCAGAAATAACTTGAATCTGATTATTCAGACATAAATACAAAGCCAATAAAAGTAGAAATAAAATCATGGATTATCTGTCACTCAGGACTAACAATGACACTGGCTTCACTCAAATATACATACATAATCAGTAGCTATATGACAAAGCAGTCAAGAGGCGAAAACAATTTTAAAGGCACATTTACTATTTCACACAAAGCAAATGTTGGTGATAAAAGCTACTGAATGAGTTTTGCAAATGTGTACAGTTTTACAAATCCGAGTACTTCAAAAGTTATATACAGTAGGATTGCTACTACGTATCAATTTCAAAAGTTATATACAGTAGGATCGCTACTATGTATCAATTTACTGATTGAAATTATATGCTACTCAAAATTAAATGAAATGTTAGATATTTACTAAGAATTTAAGTGAAGTCAGCTAGTCAGTAACTCATCTCCACACAGTCCAACATAGGCAATGTGGAGAACATAAAATAAATCAAATAGTGCAGCTTTCCAGCTTACATTGAGGAAGAAGACACAACACAAACTGAAGCTTTGGTGGAGGGGCGAATCATTAAAAGTAGCCAACTAAATAATATCCATTATCCTCCTTTTAATAACATTTAAATAACTAAGTCCTTCTAAATCAAAATGTATTTTATGAGTTTAGCCTAATCTTCTCCTAAAGGTTCTCAAGACCATGGCAATATCTTACAGAAAAATTCTTAAATAGATGACTTTTATATGAACTACTTACTTAACAAAAGTTAAAATTACTAAATTGTAATAGTTGTCATGCACACTACCATGCAAATATATTTGCCACCAGTTCTGCAAAGTAGTCAATTATTGTACACACTCAAGAAATTAAAAGAAAAAATAATCATGTGCTCATTAGTAACTGTAATAGTAAATAATTATAATGTTCTGGATATACTTTTAAATGCATATAAATAGAAATATCACATTTTTGGCACCAACTAATAATACTTTACCTAAAATTCTCTAAAAGTATGATAATTAACAACAATTAAAAAAATAAAAGCCTATCTAGCTTCTCTTACTTCAATCAGATCAAGAAATTAAGTTTACTTTTCACTTATTTTCTTATTCCAAGATCTGTATCCATAAAGGCCTGGTAGTAGGATGAGCAAGGCAAAGCAAACTACATTCTGGAACAGCCTCCTCACCCACATGAGGGGACTGAGCCTTCCAAGGCACCAGGACATTAAATGGCAGAAGGGTCTACAAATACCGTCATTAGCAAGAGTCATGGAAGGGATTTCCCTAGAATAGGGTTTTGGATAATGATAAAATGATCCGTGGCACTTCTACTTTGCAATGGCAGATGTGGCTTGGTGGGGGACGGTGTCATCACTAGTCTTAAATGAAAAAGCTTCATTATCTTACTTCATCATGCGCCTTGCAGGTACTCCACTGAAAAAAACACAAAACAGGAGGCAAAGAATTCAAGCCTCAAGGTAAGCCGTTTCAATGTTAAGTATCCACCTTTTTTTTTACTAGCAGATTATAAAACCAGCTAGTTTTATGCAATAATTTATTTCAATTTTTTTTGGCCTCGGAAACTCAAATCTGTCACCCCAACCCCCAAAAAGCCAGAGGAAGATAACATATAGTAAAACAACAGCAAATTACACAAATCTAAAACACACCTACACTGTTATAATAATGTCTGCAGAGAACAAAAACGATTTCTTTACAGAGTACTTGTTCTTTGATTGAGCTCCAAAGATGGTGAGTACTTACGTCTTGATGTTCTCATGGTACACCTTGGTGTCTGATGGCTGGTTATAGAGTGGCTAAAAAAGAAATGACATATTTATGTGCCAAGTGCTGATACAGCTGTAGGAACAAAGAAACAACATTTTAATGCACGATCACCTCAGTGGACCTATACCACAGTACCCTACCAAAGCCTGCTGGTGTCGGGTTCCCCTGTAACCCCATTTCCTACTGCTTTTCTATTTCAGTAAGAAAGTCTGCAAACCTTCCATGTCTTACGACAAATAAGCCTCCTCATACATTTAATTTCAAAGGCAAAGGAAAATTACACACTGTCCTTATCCTAAAAGTATGCCCAGTAAGCTAAGCTCTCTCCTATTTTCCTTAGTCACTTCTTCCTCCTATTACCTGAAGGGTCAAATGGCTATTAAAGGCAAAACATGCTCAGGATAATGCTTAGACAAAGGTAACTCAGAAAAACTCACAATTATCTTAAAATTGCAAGAGACTTTCTGCCCAGCTATATAATTTTTATCCAAAAACAAATGGATATCCCATTTTATCCCCAAGAAAAATTACATATTAAAAAAATAACAGCAGCAGTAACATTAGAAATGAAAACAGGAATTTCTTACCAGTTCAACTTTTGGGCCAAGACCTTCAAATATTTTATGAGCTTCTTCTGCTTTTTTCTATGGAGAAAAACATTGTTGTATTATATAATTAAAAATTATAATACCTCAAGGAAAAATAATTGCCTATTTGAAAACATAAAGACTAATCTGCAGCTGAATTTATCTTCATTTGTGCGGAAACACGCTCTAATTTCCCCGCCCTTATCCTAGGGATTGAAACAGCCATACTCAACAGGTGTTCTGTGACTGAATTATAATAGCATTCTCTAAATTAAACTGTTATAGGGCTCTCTCTCCAAATTCAATCAAATCTCTATTCAAAACCTAATGTCTGTAGTGAAAGCAATACCTAAACAATGAGGAAGTTAATAAAATATTGGGAATTCAGAGAGAAGGAAGAAAATTTAAATTGAAGATATACCCAAGTATTTTAAATATTTAACTCATGCTGTTGTTATTAAATACCTAAAAGTATAAAGTACCAAAATAAGTATATAATAAGATTACTTTCTAGTTATAAGGAACCCTAAGCAAAAACTGAAGAAAACAGAAATAGCTAGTTTTACTGCAAGTATTAGTTGGAGTATTAATCACATATTTAACATGCCATTTTCAAAAGTAAAATAATTGAAACCAAGGTACGCTAGAACATTATCTTCCTGGGCCAGCAAGACTGATTGTAGTTAGTTAAGATGCTTGCAGTCAAGCCTGACAACCTGAGTCTCATTCCTGGAACCCATTATGCCCAAAGAGAGAACTGACTCCAACAAGATATATTCTCTGTATGTACCATGTCACATATGCACTGGCAAAAACATACACACAAAATAAATAAATACACATAAAAAGTTTTAGGCTTTGAAGGTTTGGAAAAAGAAATTAAACATCAAATCCTCTAATTGGGCTGGGTATGGAGCTCAGGTGATAAAAATACTAACCTAACCTTCAGCCCTGGGTTCAACTTCTTGCACCACACCCATACACATACAAATCTCTCACACATTTCATAGAATGTAGTCTAAGTCTACATATTTAGTCTAATTCTTCATAGACATGTTGAATGTGTTCTATCTTCTAGGCACTTACTAGAGTCTAAGAAAACGAGGGGAGGAATAACCAATTCCAGCATAAAGAGAAGGTTCTTGAAAGGCTTACAGAGAAAATAATACCTGAGCTGGATGTTAAAGAATAAGTGTACTTCACAAATAAGAAAGACAGAACACTGGACTGCCTGAGTACAGACAAAACAACATGGTTTAGGTACTAAAAGCACTTAATGGAACACTGAAAACCTTGGTGGGATACTACCAAAAAGGGAGTTTTCTGGTAAAGGTCAGATAGGACCAGAGAAATGGCTCAGTGGGTAAAAGCATTTGCTGCATAAGCCTGAAGACTTGAGTTTGGTTCTAAAAATTCATGACACATCTGTCTCTATGGGAGGGAGGGAGGGAAGGAAGGAGGGAGGGATCCTTAAACACATTTTTTTAATGTGTTTAAAGTTCAGGCTACTCTGTAGAAAATAAAAAATAAGGTTTGTTTGGAGAATTGTGTAATAGGACACAGGTATAAAGAGTGGGTTAAAAATTAAAATAAAAAGACTGTAAGAATGAAATACAACAACCATGTGTGAAGAAAGGGCAACTTAAGAAAATGGCAAAAGGAGAAGAGGAAAGCAATTGCCCAGAATATTACTTAGGAAACAGGACGGATGCTCTTCAGAAATTCATAAATGGACACTGTGTGACTAAGGGAAGAAAACATCCAATTCCCAGGTAAAAGCATGAGAGACAGAAGGTTGTTGGCACACAGAATAATGGCTAACGACTTTTTCTTTCTTCTGTGGCAAACCACCCAGTCAAAATATAAGCTAGTTTCACAATCTTCTCCATTACATAGTAACTACCATTCTCTTATTCTGAAGTTGGAGAACCTATAAAATATTTTTGGGATTATATAACTCAACAAAAATAAAGCAATCTCAAACCGTAAAAAAAAAAAAAAAACATAGTTCATGAAAAGTTTGTTTAGAGTTTAGAGTTTAAACATGAACCAAGGCAGTTTTTCTCTCATGAAGCCAAATTTAATGGTTTCCTCTGAGGCAGTTTTCTTCCTACCACCAACCTTGTAAATAAAGGAAAGACTTATTATACATGATAATGGTTCCTATTACTTCTGCCCTACTGAGCATAATTCCCAGAGGACTTAGATTGCCACTAAACAAATAAGTGAAAGACTTCTGTCATTATCGAATGGCAGAAATACATCTTCTTGCCTTATGCCATATTCACTTTAAAAAGCTGCAGGAGCACTGCAAATCTTACAAGAAGTAGCATGGTGAGGACAGTATCGCAAAGCCGGCAGACATACCCCAAGAAGCTTCCCTCTACTTTCCTCTAGGAGACCCTGCTTATGATTGCAGAACTACACAAAACAACTATAAAATACAACTAACAGTAGGGTATACCTCTAAAGTATCCAAAAGAAACAGTTACTAAGAGTGAGTTAAAAACATTTTTCATACATGAAAAAAAATTCACTGTAGGAAGCTAAGTCTCATACTGAGAAATCAAGTTTGGCTATTCTTTGCTTTGTGGAAATACCAGAAAACCAAAAAGAAATGATCAAAATAGAAAAAGTCTAAAAGAAGTTTTCAAATTTGATGATGGGTATTAAACATTTATCTCACTAGCTAATGAAGATATTTATATAATTAAACATAATAAAGTTCTCTACCACATCTTAATTTTCATACCAATTGGAGAACTACAACATTCACTAATTTAGAATTGTTCCGCTTATACAAGTTTATCTTAAAATGTAATCAGTAAGCTGATCACTGAACCCATCTATTTTAAAATGAATACCAAAATTGTAGACATTGTCTATGAGTTCTAATCCCTTAATTTATCATAGATGTCACAAACTCTTTGAAGTGTTTTTAGATTTGAAGAATATTTCTTTTTTTCTCTCTTTTTGGTTTGAGACAGGGTTTCTTTGTATAGCTCTGGTTGTTCTAGAACTTGCTCTGTAGACCAGCCTGGTCTCAAAGACAGAGATGTGCCTGACCCTACTGGGTGAAAGGCATGCACCACCACCTGGCTCCGAAGGGTATTTCTTAAAAACCAGAAGTGTAACACAAAACTTCTCATTTCCATCTCCTCAAAGGGCAAACTGTCTCATTTGAGCTACAGCCTTCCTCTAGGCATGGCATGAGGTACTACTTTTCCCTTAGTGTCTTCCAACTTCATTAGATTCATCTTCATGTAAATTATTTTGGCCATTCAATAAACTGCACCCATCATTCTAAGCCCAGCCAACTTAGTATTAATTGCCTATATTTTTAACAGCATATGACATTTACCACATAAAAGTATACTTTAAAAATGAATCAATTCTCTACACATGTACAGACATGAGTTCAAGATAACTTTCATATGATTAAGAATGAATTTACCTTATTCTCTTCCTTACCTTTGTGTGTGTGAGAGAGAGAAAAAAAAGAGAGATGCATGTGCAGGGACATGCTGGTATCTTCTGTCCTCCTTGGTAGCTTCAAAACAAAATACTTCTTGTTTTGAAGCCAGGGTCTCTCTCACTGAACCTGGATCTCACTAATTTGGCTAGGCTAGCTGGCCCACAAGACCCAGGGATCCTTCTGTCTCTACTTCCTCAGTGTTCAGATCACAGGCAAATGCCCATACATGCAGCTTTTTACATGAGTATTAGGAATCTGAACTTACATTTTCAAGCTTGTGCAGCAAGCACTTTACAGAATGAAGCTTCTCCCCAGCTCCTATGTTTTTGTGCAGATGGGACTTCATAGTTATTTACTTTAGAACATATCATTCAGATAAAAGGCTCAGAATAGCAACAGACATTTTACCAACATAACTCTACAGAACAACTTTAAAAAATTTATTTTAAGTACACTTTCCTTTCTGACACTTTTTATAGCCATACTATATCTGAATTAGGTAAGAAGATAGCTTTTACCCACCATGTGTTCTTGACTCTTACTTAGAATTGGGTTCTTCATGTAAAATCTGTCTATAACATATATGCTAGTCTTACCCTAAGATCTCTCTTATTATCTTAATTACCTAAAATTCACCCAATTAACCATTCTTCAGGAAAGAACAATTGTGTCTGCTATTAACTATTATTCTGTGACTTTTTCTATAAGTCTTCTACTGTTTGTTGGTGCACATTTTACAACTAAGGTCTCTTAAGCCTGTTATTATACTTTTTCTCTGGCCTGAAATACTGTCAAAAATATGGTGACAATCTAATTTTCTTGCCTTTATTAATATTGCTAGGCTTCCCTCACTCTCTTTAAACTTGTTACAGTGATGCTAGGGCCAATTAAGGTCCTGTGCATGCTAGGAAGGTACTTCACTACTGCATACCCCAGCTAAGAGCTGCTTTTCTTGTGGCCAATATCATTTTAGATCTTGCTATTATGAACTATTGCCAATCTGTATAAAATATATGGGCGATAAATCAACTCACAACAAAAAATAAATAAATAATAATCCTTATTTTAACTTTATGATTCCTTTTGGCTATTAAGTCTTCCATAATACTTAAATCCTATTATATGTTCTGGATTAAGGATTGCTAAGCTTCTCTGGTGCAGCGTTTTATGTTGATGTGAAATAAGTTTCCCTTTTACTCCAAGTTACAGATCGAAAACCAACACTGTCATTACAAACACAACTCACCATGCCCTAAAATTTCCCAATTAAGAGAATGAAATAAGAAATTGGTTTAATAAAAAAAGCAAAAGCCACCTAAAGGTCAAAGTTCATCACCCAGTTATTAACTGAGGCTGATGAGGATATTCTTTCCCCATCCAAAGGCATAATTGTACCGAAATGTGACCAATCTGGCGTTGATATTAAATGCACCTTAAGTAAAAATTAGCAAACATACAGGGCATGGTGGCACACCCCTTTAGTACTAGCATTAGAGTCACTCACAGGCAGGCAGATATCTGTAAGCCAGCCTGGTCCACACAGGATTTCCAGGGCTACACAGGGAGACCCTGTGTTGAAACAAAAACAAAACAAAAAACTTGCAAGCAAGCATGAAGATGCATAACACTCAGGAGGCAAAAGCAGGAGGTTGCTTCAACTTAAGAGGCGAGCCCAGTCTACATAGCCAAGTGCAGAATTACATTCCATCTAGGACTCTATGGTAACTCCCTATATCAAAAAGAATAAAAGGCGGGCTGGAGAGATGGCTCAGTGGTTAAGAGCACTGGCTGTTCTTCCAGAAGTCCTGAGTACAATTCGCAACAACCACATGGTGGCTTCCTACCATCTGTAATGGAATCTGATTCCCTCTACTGCTGTGCATGAAAAGTGTTGTTCATATACATAAAATAAATAAATCTTTTAAAAAAAATAAAATAAAAGGCTACAGAATGGCTATTTTATATTATGTGTTATTCAATTTACTTACCAGTAGGTTTATGATAAGAGAATCAGCTGATAAAATTCTAATCAGTGAATAATATTTATATAATACATAATATAAAACAGAACTTATGCTTTAATATAATTACAACAGAATATACTCAGAACTGGAAAATCCAAAGTCGAACAGGTTTAAAGGCCTATGTTGTCAGAAGAAACCATAAACTTACCCGATTCTCATCATAAATAATTTGGACAATACTACGGTGTTTCTGCTCCACAGGAGGAGGAGACACAGGCTTCTCCGGCTCAGGGGGCTTAGCTGCCTCTTCTTCTAGCTGTTGCTAAGAGATCCAGAAAAATACTATCAGTCATCTGCTGCAGATCACTAGGCAGGAGCCAGAGGAAACACACACTACTGTGCACTTCGTGTTGATTTCACAGGATAACCAGTTATTCCAAGGACCTCACAGAGCCAAGAGCTCAAAGCAAAATAACCAGAAAAATTTTAATAACTGAACATCATAGATAATACTAAGATAGGTACATAAAACCAAAAGAAAAAGCCTTGATTATTTCAATTCTGAAAAGGGAAACATTAAGAAAAAGTAAGTTTAAGGAAAGTACCTTATTACACCTCTATCACAATAACCTTTGACAACATTAGGAAAAAGTCCATGTTACAGATACATGGTATTTGTGTGAAGGTCTCTTGTGACCAATATGGTGAGAAAGGATTAGAGGAGTAATTCGTAGCTCAGAATTGTGCCATGTCCAAACCCACCCTTTCTATCTATTAACACTGCTCTTCGTCAAGCGCACTGACAGCTGGCATATGAACGATAAAGGAAAATGCTATCTCTTAGGCTGTGTTAGTCTGTCCAGGTTTGAGCCTGAAAGAATGATTATAGTATTTTTTTCCTAAAACTTAATCAAGTACTCAGGCCACTCATGAAGTAGGGATTCAACACTATTTAACAATTGGGTTTTTGTTTTTTGCAAGGATTAAATGACCTATATGTAGCATTCAGTTCAAGTCTACATGTTCAGTAAATATTACTGTAAACAGGAATTTGTCTACCTTTCTTGCTTTTTTCCCCCCCAACCTAAAATCTAGTAACTGCTCAACAAAAACCCATATGGATTATTTAGGTAGAAATACAGTCTAGTATAGGGAGAGGAAAACGATATGGACTACTAAGGAAAACCAACAGTGAGGTCCTGTAACTAGACCACACCCAACAGGAATGGGGTATGTGCACAACAAAGGGGAGGAGGAAAACGCACAAAAGAGAAACATGGGCCCAGAAGACAGCTCAGTTGGCAAAGTATCTGCCTGGCACACACAGGGCCAGAATTCACAGATCCCCAGACCCACAGAAAGCAGTTGATTTTGACAGCACAATCCTGAGAAGGCAGAGAGAGGGAAATTCCTAGGGTCCTGGCCTAACCAGGAAGCTCGCGGACAGCACCTACTGAACAACAGTGAAGGCTGTCCTCTGGCCTCCACATGCATACATATCATCATGTGTGCATTCACAAACACAAACACACATGTGCAAAGATAAATGTAGCAGACTCAAGAAACTGCCCAAAGAAGTGATACTCGCGGCATTACCATGCATGAGCGTTATGCACCATGGAAGGAAAGAGGAATGGGGACGAGGAGGCAGCCTGGGAAAGAAACAATCAAATGGCTTGGAATAAAACCAAAGAAAAGGAAGTAAACAGAAATTCATTGTAGAGAATACAATTATGTCCTCCAAAATGATGGGGAAACTTACTTTTGGAAGAACTGTAACTGAACTAAAAAAAAGGAATGCTAGAGCGATGGGGAAGGGAAAGGGTTGTCTAAGAAGAGTGGAAGTGTGGTCAGGGTGTACTGAAAACCAAACATTAATTAACACACACACACACACACAAACACTGGAATCACCAGTAGAAAGTCTTTATAGGTACATACATACATACATACATACACACACACACACACACACACACACACACACACACACACACTCTAGATCAGGGCGATTTAACCAATATTTAAGTTCTGCAACGCACTCATCGACAAAATAATTATAATTTTTAACCATTGCAGAGTTTAGAAATAGTACAATGTGGTCAGATCTTACCAAAACCAGGTAAGGACAGATAAGAAAAAAATAGTAGATGCTAGGAAGATGGTGCACTTGCCTGATGACCTACACGCTATACACAAAAGTCATGTCAAAGAGGAAGTAGAGAAACAAGTCAACAAAGCTGTCCTGTGACTTCCATGCCCACTGAGGCATGTGTACACACATAATTCTGAACAAATATGAACACACACACACAATTCTTTGTCTGTTTGTTCGTTTGTTCTAGAAAGGGTTTCTCTGTAGCCCTGGCTGTCCTGGAACTCACTCTGTAGACCAGGCTGGCCTCAAACTCACAAAGATCCACCTGCCTCTGCCTCCGCAGGGACTAAAGGCGTGTGCCACCAGCACCCGGCTCACAAAGATTTTTTTACAGAAAAGAACAGCGTAAAGCAGCTCGGTGCAGTGGTTCACCCTTCAGTTCCACCACTCACAAGACAAAGGCAGGAGGAGTACACGTCACTCCAAGTCACTCTGAGACTCCCTTTGGGGATCAAGCAACCTTTTCAACAGGAACATATCAGATATCCAGCTCATCAGATATTTATATTAGAACTCATAACGGCAAAGTTACAGTTATGAAGTAGCAACAAAAATAATTTTATGGTTGGGGTCACCACAACATGAGGAACTGTATTAAAGGATTAGGAAGGGTCAAAGAAACTTTCATTCCCCTGCTTTAATTGTTGTCTTGGAGTACTGCCTGTCTGCTAATCTCGGCCTAGTCCTGAAAGCTTCTAGTCTCCACACCATCTAACCTAGGCCTAGAATGTTTTCAGCCTCTGAGACTTACCTCTTAGTAAGCTCACCCTTTCATGTTCTTACTGAGCTCCTTCAACTTAGCTCTTCAGGCTCAAATTCTTCTCCCACCTGACTTATTCAGTCTGGCCTTTCTTTCTCTTGGCCTCTGAATTGCTCTGCTTCGCATCAAACTAACTCCAGCAATCTTTTCTAATCTTGTGGCTCCTTCTCATTCTTTGGCTCGTTCTGTCTTCACCTGTGTCTAGCTTGTTCTCCCTCTGTAACTTCTCTCTCTATTACTGTCCCGGTAAAACTGCCCGCTCTGCACTGCCCCCTAAATAGCTTCTCTTTCCTATTCTATCAAATTTTCTCTGATTTGCCATTTTTTCTGTCACTCAATCAAGACATCACTTTCAAACATGGGTGTTTCCTTCCACAAACTAACTTTATTCTCATTGTTTGGGATTAAAGGCATGTACCACCATGCCTGGACCTAAGCTTTTCTTTACAAGAAACTTGCTCTATACCAAGCTGGCCTTGAACTCATATCTGCTTGCTTCTGTCTCCTGGATTAAAGGCGTGTTTGTACTCTAACTGAATCACACAGACCTAGAAGGTCTTCAGATGTGATCTCTTGCCAGAGCAGCCATGTTTTGAATTAAAACTCCTCTACAAGGTTGAGAATGACTAGTCCAGAACACTGGAGTTCAAAGTCAGCCTGGGTTACATACATGACCCTGTCTCAAACAAACAAACAAACAAAAAATAAAAAATATTGCAACCTGATCTCTTTCACAAATTTAAATCCAAAAATAATGTTAAACTAGTAATTACCTAAATAAAATAGATGAAGCACAAATAAAGCTAAACCTACAGGAGCAGAGGCATTTAAAACCAGCATTAAAACTAAGAGATGAAAAAGAGGAAGCCACATGACTGGCAAACAAGTGTAAAACAGGCATTCCTTGCTGAATAAGACTCAACATGCCTTCATTATTAAAATATCTGCAGGCAAGCGCAATAGCTCACACCTGAATCCCAACATTGAAGAGGATGAGACAGTAAGTACCAGGAGTTGAAGCCAGCATGGGCTACTGAGAAAGATTCTGTCTAAATGAAAATAAAGACCTTGACATGTTAGAAAAATACAGGACTTTGCAACCTAATGACAAATTTCTACCAAAAAACCTCATTTTAAAAGCATAAAACAATAAAGAAACAGGAATAAAAACTTTAAAACCTGTATTTATATGCTGCTCTGTTCACATATAGCACACTTCACGTGTGGAAGTCAGAGGACAACATGCAGAAGTCAGCTCTTTTCTTTTTTTTTTCTGGTGTGTGTGTGTGTGTGTGTGTGTGTGTGTGTGTGTGTGTGTGTGTGT